CCTGGGTAATGCTAAAAGTAGTTCAAAAAAGAATTTCTGATTCGTAATCAGCGAGGCCAAAAACCCCTAGATACCATGTTTCATAGAAATCCTTAAAAAAAATGAAAATCCGTCCGCCATATTAAATCAGCCATTTTGAATTTTCGAAAACTGACTTTAGATTCGTAATCAGCGAGGCCAAAAACCCCTACATACCATGTTTCATAGAAATCCTTAATAAAATTAAAATCCGTCCGCCATATTGAATCCGCCATTTTGAATTTTCGAAAACTGACTTTAGATTCGTAATCAGCAAGGCCAAAAACCCCTACATACCATGTTTCATAGAAATCCTGAATAAAATTAAAATCCGTCCGCCATATTGGATCCGCCATTTTGAATTTTCGAAAACTGACTTTAGATTCGTAATCAGCAAGGCCAAAAACCCTTACATACTATGTTTCATAGAAATCCTTAATAAAATTAAAATCCGTCTGCCATATTGGATCCGCCATTTTGAATTTTCGAAAACTGACTTTAGATTCGTAATCAGCAAGGCCAAAAACCCTTACATACTATGTTTCATAGAAATCCTTAATAAAATTAAAATCCGTCTGCCATATTGGATCCGCCATTTTGAATTTTCAAAAACTGACTTCAAATTCGAAATCAGCGAGGCCAAAAAGCCTTAGATACCAAATTTCATACGAATCCTACAAACAGTTTATAAAGTATTTGTTACCCCCCCACCAAAATTTGTAGTGGCAATTTCTACCCCAAAATTCGTTTTTGGGGAAAAACAAAAAAATACGTGTCTAATAGTTTTTGAAGAACTACTTGTATGCGCAGTTTCAGGAAAATCGGTGATTATCACTTCCCTAGTGTTACTTGTAAGACTATCCCGCACATAACGCAAGGCCGTTACAATGATATTTAGTTATAACAAGATTAATATTTGTAGCCAAGTAGCATTTATTTGCAGAAAATTGGCATCAAATTTGCATCAAATTTATTTTTTAGAAATAAATCTTATTTGTGTGGATCCGAAGTTAATTCCGGTAATTTAGGATCCTTTACATGTTATTCGTACATCAGAAAACACTGATTCCCATTGCATCATGTAATATGGCGAAATAGTGGCGATACATTGTCATTTCGTAGTAACAGTGACAGTGATTATCGTTTATTAACATGTGATTTGAAAATTTGGACAACAAAATGAAACATATTGTGGAAGCATTACATTTAGAGTGTAAATATTTAAATAAAATATTTATAAAAATAATTTATAAAAATAATTTATAAAATATAATTTATAAAATTAATAATTACTTTATAAAAATTAATAATTATTTTATAAAAATATTTATAAATAAAGATAAATATTTATAATATTATAAATAATATTATAAGAAAATTATAATTACTGTTTCGGCTACAAATTAGGATAATAAGAAACATTTAGTATCAGTTGAACAAGTAGCGCAGCAGCTAAGGTGATAGACTAGAAACTTGGAGGTATCTGAAGTTCTCGAGTTCGCATCCGACTAGTACTGAGTAAATTTTCAGATGTGGAAATAGTAAAAAATCAAACAGAAAAGCTAAATTTCATTTAAAATCAAATAAATCAGAGATTTACTTCTGTAAAATAAGCCTAATATTCTACAAGTAAATTTTTAAGTCTTTTTCTCAGTGTACTGTCTCAATACTACAGCGATATACTTTATCTATATTCCTCACACAGATTGTTTTAGCTCATTTTCATCAAATGCAGCAATTCATATCTAGTTACCAGGTCTAAGTTTTCCTGCACATATTGTTATAATATTGTTGTTAAAAATTTTACGTGCCACACAATTTTCTAGCAGATACAAAAAACAACGATTCATTTTGACTGTAACATTTAGAATTCTAGCTGGACCAGTAAAACATTTTTTTGAGTGTACAATTTTGCTAGTCAGGTACAGAGTAAAACAATATAATATAGTTATTAGGTAGTTGTAGGTTGCTGAAAAACACATAAGATTTGCTCATCTCTTCTGCCATATCTTACAAGGAAACGGTCGGGGGCGTCCCTCACCGAATTTGATGAGCATTGGATATGTTGTAGAGCATCAAAAAACATTAGACACGTATTTTTTTTTATGTGCTTATCTCGAGGTTTAGGGGTTGAAACCACCCCTTGAAAAAAACGGATTTTTTCATTTTTATTTAATATTTCCTAAAATATGAGGTATATGAAAAAATATTTCAGACAAAAGTTTTACAGTATCTTATGCCCTTTCCATCGGTCTATTCAAATTTTTTAAAATGCAATATTTCACCCCCCCCCTCCCTCTCCCCTTCGTCACCTTTGCAAATTTTTAAGTTTTTGTAAGGACAAAAATTAAAAAGCATTTCATGCCAAATCCATCGATATATAATAATAGTATGGTTCCTCGATTCAATTCTTGGCAAAACTACATGACTGATAACTTCGCGTTATAGGCACCGCGTTGTGCGAGTAGGTAAGTACTGTACGTTGCGTTGGATTACTTCTCTTC